GTCACGAATCTGAGCCCTCAATTTGGCCACACTCCTTCCCATTCCTCGGTGTATTTCTATCCTTATCCTGCATTTTAGCATATTTTTTCAAGTCATACCTAATCAGAAAGCCTCTCCTACATGCCTCTATTTTCTCTGCATTGTGTTTTCTCAAGTTTGAGCCACATTTTGAAATGTAACCAAAGTGAGAAAAACCAAACAGGATGGGTGCATCTTTATTTTCACAATATAGTACTGTCTTAATATAATAACAAAGCAAAATTATTTTCTATTGATCTAAAATTCACTTTTTTGTATACAGGAAAAAAAAAAGTCTTGGTCCCCCAGGCTGGAGCATAGTGCTCGGTCCCCCAGGCTGGAGTGTGGCGCTCGGTCCCCCAGGCTGGAGTGTGGCGCTCGGTTCCCCAGGCTGGAGTGTGGTGCTCGGTCCCCCAGGCTGGAGTGTATGGAGTGTAGTGCTCGGTCCCCAGGCTGGAGTGTGGTGCTCGGTCCCCCAGGCTGGAGTGTGGCGCTCGGTCCCCCAGGCTGGAGTGTATGGAGTGTAGTGCTCAGTCCCCAGGCTGGAGTGTGGTGCTCGGTCCCCCAGGCTGGAGTGTGGTGCTCGGTCCCCCAGGCTGGAGTGTTGTGCTCGGTCCCCCAGGCTGGAGTGTGGTGCTCGGTCCCCCAGGCTGGAGTGTGGTGCTCGGTCCCCCAGGCTGGAGTGTATGGAGTGTAGTGCTCGGTCCCCCAGGCTGGAGTGTGGTGCTCGGTCCCCCAGGCTGGAGTGTATGGAGTGTAGTGCTCGGTCCCCCAGGCTGGAGTGTGGTGCTCGGTCCCCCAGGCTGGAGTGTGGCGCTCGGTCCCCCAGGCTGGAGTGCATGGAGTGTAGTGCTCGGTCCCCCAGGCTGGAGTGTGGTGCTCGGTCCCCCAGGCTGGAGTGTGGTGCTCCGTCCCCCAGGCTGGAGTGTGGTGCTCGGTCCCCCAGGCTGGAGTGTAGTGGTGTGATCACGGCTTAGTGGAGCCTCACACTCCTGGCCTCATGTGATCTTCCCACCTCAGCCTCCCGAGCAGCTGGGACTAGAGGTGCACATTAGCATGCCCAGCTAATTTTAATTTTTTTATAGAGATGAGGTCTCACTATGTTGCCTAGGTTAGCCTGCAACTTCTGGCCTCAAGTGATCCTCCTGTCTCGGCCTCCCAAGCACCAGGATCAGAGGCATGAGCCACTGAGCCCAGTCAAATTTACCCCTTCAAATAGTAAAACACCTAAACAAATTATTCTGTATGTAAATATTTTGAAAATATATGAATACGTCCTTGTCTTCTTAAAAGAGTATGCTGAACATAATTCAGTCTCTTCTTGATATTAATGGTTAATATTTTGGATACAAATTGACACACAGGCCAGGCACGGTAGCTCATGCCTGTAATCCCAGCACTTTGGGAGACCGAGGCAGGTGGATCACCTAAGGTTAGAAGTTTGAGACCAGCCTGGCCGAAATGGTGAAACCCCGTCTCTACTAAAAATACAAAAATACAAAAAAAAAATTAGCCGGGTGTGCTGGCACACATCTATAATCCCAGCTAATTGGGAGGCTGAGGCATGAGAATTGCCTTAACCCACAAGGCAGAGGTTGCAGTGACTGAGATCATGCCACTGCACTCCAGCCTGGGCAGCAGAGCGAGACTCTGAAAAAACAAACAAACAAACAACAACAACAAACAAACAAATGTACTCCTCTATAGCACAGGAGATATTTTTAGGAGCTATTCTGCTTCTGTATCTTTCATCTGTTATTTTTTTAAGGGACATCGTCTCCCCGCCAGGTTTCCAGAAGTATATGGTTTCAAAGAGAAGGGCAGACCCTACCTTCCATCCTGTACCTTTCTGACCTTGGTGAAACTCTGTATTTTTGTTGCTTTTTCACTGGTTGGTCATCTTAGCTTTGTACAATGTAGAAGAGCTTTTAATTTTTATTTTTTTAAATGTCCCTCTTTTACAGTCCTCAAATCTAAGCCACAAAGTCCAAAGTATCTTAAAAGATGTTCCTTCCATTGGAGGTGTGCTCTAATCTCCAGGCCTCTGCTTCAGAATCACTGGGAGTTCTTTTGTTAAAAATGTGCTACCTCCTATCTACAAATTCTATTAGCTTAAAAGTTCAGACCTAAAATATGCATCTTAAACAAATATCCTAAGCGATTCTTATGCATATCCAACTTTGAGAACTGCAGCTCTATCTTTTCCTTATAACTATGGTTCTCAAACATTGCAACAAATTATAGGCACATAAGGACCTTAAAAAAGGGAACAGTGGCTGAGCCCAAATCCAGAATCAGATCCTCTGAGTGGTAAGACCCGGGCATTGGTGTTTTTATTTAATTTTTACTCTTTATGTTGAGCTAATTATAGATTTCCCATGCCATTTGTAAGGAAAAATAAAGAGAGAGCCCATGTACCCTTCACTCAGTTTCCCCCAATGGTGATACCTTGCATAACTACAGCATAACATCACAATTAGGAAACTACATTGATACAATCCTACTATGCTGGATTTTTCCCCCCCTGAGATGGAGTCTTGCTCTGTCACCCAGGCTGGAGTGCTGTGGCATGATCTCGGCTTACTGCAACCTCCGACTCCCGGGATCAAGCAATTCTCCTGCCTCAGCCTCCCAAGTAGCTGGGATTACAGGCACACACCACCACGCCCGGCCAATTTTTGTATTTTTAGTAGAGATGGGGTTTTACCATGTTGGCCAGGCTGGTCTTGAACTCCTGACCTTGGTGATCCACCCACCTCATCCACCCAATGTGCTAGGATTACAGGTGTGAGCCACTGTGCCAGGCCATTTTTCTCTATTTCTTCTTTGGTGATGCTTAGTTCTACTGAAGTAGCTTCTCTCCTCTTTAACATGCTAGCTTTTTCTATTTTGAAAAAATGTAAAACCTACAGAAAACTTACCATGCTAGTATAATGAACACCCAAATACCCTTCACATATATTTACCAGTTGTTAACATTTTGCCACATTTCTCTCCTCTCCCCTCCCACTTTCTCCTTCTCAATATGTACACACATATTCTTGATCCTGACCCATTTATGCACAGCCCCTCATGCCTGCACACTTCAGCATGCGTCTCCAGAGAACAAGGACGTTCTCTTACATGGCCACAATGCAACTGTCAAACTCAGAAAATTTAACATCAATACAATATTATCTAATATAATATAGTTCATTTCAAATTTCATTCATTTTCCAAAACTCTCTTTATATATAGCAATTCCTCTCCCTCACACCCCTAGGATCTCATCACACTGCCTTATTGTGTTATTTCTTTACTCTCCTTTAATCTGAAACAACACCCTTTGTCTCTCATGCTAATGACTTTTTTTTTTTTTTTGAGACAGGGTCTCATTCTGTTGCCCAGGCTGGAGTGCAGTGCCATGATCATAGCTCACTGCAGCCTCGACCTCCCGGGCTCAAGTGATCCTCTCACCTCAGCCTCCCAAGCACCACCACACCCAGCTGATTATTTGTAGAGATGGAGTCTCCCTATGTTGCCCAGGCTGGTCTGGAACTCCTGGCTTCAAGCATTCCTCCCACCTCAGCCTCCTAAAGTGCTGGGATGATAGGTATCAGCTACCGCACCTGGCTGCCACTGACATTTTTGAAGACTCCGGGCCAGTTGTATTGTAGAGTATCCCCCTCAATTTGGGTTTGTCTGGCTGTTTCCTCATTGGATTTCGCTTTTGAAAAACATTTTTCATCCACATTTTCAGTTATGGATTCGCTGAGGAGACATTTGGCTAAGGAGAGCTTCTCTCTATCATTGTTTAAAACATTATTAAGCATAACTGATAGATGGTCACCTCTGAACACCTTGCTCCCAGGCATAACATCAGTAATATTCACAACAGACTGTGGCACATTCTGAGCAAAACCAGGTGAGTGCAATTCTCCACTTGTGACTGTGAACTATAAGGAACAAGAAGTCATGAGCCTGGGCTTCCAGCAGGGCCTTCCCTGAGGCCTGGGTGAGCAACATTATTTCTTTATTCCTCAGTCTCCTCAAACCATAACATGGGAATGAAAATCCCTAGAACTTAACTCACATGGTTAATGTGGTCACGGATGTTACATGCTCAACATGGTGCTTGGCACTCGGTAAGTGCTCATTTAATGTGAGCTCTTATTATCATTTAAAAGTAACGTCATTAAGTCAAAGTTCTTGCGGATTGTTTTACATCTGGCCAGGCACGGCGGCTCATGCCTGTAATGGCAGCACTTTGGGAGGTTGAGGCAGGAGGATCACTTGAGCCCAGGAGTTTGAAACCAGCCTGGGCAATAAAGCAAGACCTTGTCTCTCAAAAAAAAAAAAAAAAAAAAAATTAAAAAAATAAAAAAAGAATTAGCTGGGCATGGTGGCACATGCCTATAACCCCAGCTACTTGGGAGGCTGAGGTGGGAGGATTACTTGAGCCCAGGAGTTGCAGTGAGCCATGATTGCACCACTGTATTCTAGCTTGGGAGACAGAGCAAGATTCTATCTCTTTAAACAAGCAAATAAACAAACAAAATATATATATCCATTCTAGGGGGTAGCAGCCCAGAGGTTTTGTTTGTATGTTTGTTTTGAGACAGGTTCTCTCTCTGTCATCCAGGCAGACGTGCAATAGCACAATCATAGCTCACTGCAACCTTGAATTCCTGGACTCAAGTGATCCTCCAGCCTCAGTTTCTCAAGTAGCTGGGACTGCAGGCACACGCCATCACACCCAGCAAATTTTTTAAACTTTTAGTCAAGACAAGGTCTTGCTATGTTTCCCAGGCTGGTCTCTAACTCCTGAGCCCAAGCCATCCTCCCGCCTCAGCCTCCCAAAGTGCTGGGATTACAGACCACCATGCCTGCCCTGCGGTTCGCTTAGATTCTCTCATGGAGTCCATCTTATGGCAGGCACAGCTGCTTGGCTATGGAAAAGATTCCCAGCCTTCAGGAGTTAGGATGCTGAAAACTGATCTTACCATCACATCCTGAATAGTTAAGAGGATCCTTTCTTTGTCCACGCTGCTTGAAGGGTCAGAATGTCCACATGCATTCAGAAGGGAGATGTTAAAACCACAGGGCTTGCTGCTGGTGGGAGATTTGGTATCCTACGAATAAGCACAGGGAACTGGGCATGGTAAAAGCAACTTCCTGTCCCTGAAGATGTGCTGGGGCCTTGGTCTTCTGTTGGTCTCCCTGCCTCCCATCCCTTTCCTCACTGAATCACCCTTGCTCTTGCTCCTGAAGTGGATCTGATCGCTCTCATTTCTGCTACATCAACACCATTGCTGGCACACAGCCAGTCAATGCACCAGGATCCAAACTCAGGCCACCAACTCCCAAAACAGTGCTCTAACCCATGGAGCTGTATGGCAATTGACTGAGTACCAGTGTAGAAAGATGGCCAAGGTATATTGTTGAGTTTTTTAAAAAATGGGAGGCCGGGCACAGTGGCTCACATCGGTAATCCTAGCACTTTGGGAGGCTGAGGCAGGCCGATCACCTGAGGTCAGGATTCGAGACTAGCCTGGTCAACATGGTGAAATCCCATCTCTACTAAAAATACAAAAATTAGACATGTGTGGTGGCGCCTGCCTATAGTCCCAGCTACGTGGGAGGATAAGGCAGGATAATTGCTTGAACCCAGGAGGCAGAGGATGCAGTAAGCCGAGATCTCGCCACTGCACTCCAGCCAGGGCGACAGAGCAAGACTCCGTCTTTAAATAAACAAATAAGTAAGTAAGTAAATGGGGCTGGGCATGGTGGCTTAGCCCTGTAATAACTGAAACTTTGGGAGGCCGAGGCGGGAAGATTGCTTGAGCCCAGGAGTTCAAGACCAGCCAGGGCAACATAGTGGGATATGAGACCCTATCTCTACCAAAAAACCCCCCAACAATTAGCTAGATGTGGTGGTGAGTGCCTGTTGTCTCAGCTATCAGGGAGGCTGATGCAGGATGACTGCTTTAACTCGGGAGGTAGAGGTTGCAGTGAACTGTGATTGTACTACTGCACTCCAGCCTGGGTGGCAGAGCGAGACTTTGTCTAAAAAAAAAAAATAAAATAAAATAAAAAGGGGGATAATCAAATAGCATGGACGGTATAATCCTATTTATGTGAAAATAACCACCAAAAATGTTAAAAAGGCACCCACTCAGAGGTCATTTATATGGTAACCCCAAACCGCAGGAACTGCCCTAAGTTCCTGCTATGGTAACCCCACGCATTGAAATTGCCCTAGGTCTCATCACTGGAATGAAGGAAGACTGAACGGATGTGCTGCGGAGCCTGGCTGGGGGTGGGGTTGGGGTGGGCTGGCCAAGGATGGTGGCCTTTAGTTGTTTATAAATGTCAGCAATAACAATGACTTTAAGACAGTGAACTGGCCGGGCGCGGTGGCTCAAGCCTGTAATCCCAGCACTTTGGGAGGCCGAGACGGGCGGATCACGAGGTCAGGAGATCGAGACCATCCTGGCTAACACGGTGAAACCCCGTCTCTACCAAAAAAGACAAAAAACTAGCCGGGCGAGGTGGCGGGCGCCTGTAGTCCCAGCTACCCGGGAGGCTGAGGCAGGAGAATGGCGGGAACCCGGGAGGCAGAGCTTGCAGTGAGCTGAGATCCGGCCACTGTACTCCAGCCTTGGCGACAGAGCGAGACTCCGTCTCAAAAAAAAAAAAAAAAAAAAAAAGACAGTGAACTGTTATTGTGGGAAAAAACCCGACTCACCCCATGCCACCATCCACCCAGTGGAAAGAACGCTCAGAAGGCATTCCAGAAGACGTCAGGGTGGCCCTGTGTTCCTGTCACCTATCATGCTCTCAGAGACTTCAGAGGTAACTAGACGTGGGAGACACCACTCACGGGGAACAAGACAGGTCCGGGATATTCTGGATCAATGATCTCTTCTTGGATATAATGAAATATGCTATTTTTAGTCCAGATGGTTATCTACCCATCTACTCACAATAATTATCTCTGGGGCAGTGGGATTATGAAAGGACTTTTGTTTTCTTTGTATCATTTGATTTTTTTTCCTTTTAGAGACGGGATCTTGCTCTGTCACCCAAGCTGGAGTGCAGTGGCATAATCATCGCTTACGGTAGCCTTGTGGGATTTGAATTTTTTTATATCAATTATGCATTATCAGGAAAATAAGTACCATAATTTTTTAACATGCACACTTTGCTTCATTCCTGATACATCAATGGAGACAATTTTTTTTTTTTTTTTGAGATGGAGTTTCACTCTGTCCCCCAAGCTGGAGTACTGTGGCTCAATCTTGATTCGCTGTAACTTCTGCCTCCTAGGTTCAAGTGATTCTCCTGTCTCAGCCTCCTGAGTAGCTGGGATTACAGATGTGTGCCACCACGCCTGCTTATTTTTATATTTTTAGTAGAGATGGGGTTTCATCATGTTGGTCAGGCTGGTCTCAAACCCCTGATCTTAAGCGACCCTTCGCCTCCCGAAGAGCTGGCATTACAGATGTGAGCCATGGCACCTGGCCAGAGACGATACCACTGAAATGGCGAACATATCATCCATTGCAGCGTACAGCCATGTCCCCAGGAAAGCCAACATAACTAAGACTTGGCACTTTGGCGGAACTCTCTGGAAAGCAGTGTCTTCCTTTCACCAGAGATGTAAAACAGTTTAAACCCTATGATGGTTTCCCCTCAAACTTAAGGAGAATCCCATATCTTTATTTTTGCCCTCAAGCCCCGTGCAACTGACCCGTGGCTGCTTCTCTGACCTCACCTCTACTTAAGTATCACCTCATCAAGGGGAGCCCCTGCACCCTCCATATAAAATAGCAGTCCCTAGCTATTTTTCTCTTCCCCTTCCTATTTTATTTTTCTTATCAGCCCTGTTGTCTCCTTACACATTATACACTTATCTTCTGCCTTATCCTCAGTGTCTGGAATGGTACCCAGGATGGTGGCACACTGGAGCACACACACCTAAGTAAGGGGACAGCTGTTTCTCAGCTCTGGTCATTGTTGGTGTATAAGAATGTGGACCCCTTGCCTGGGTGTGGTAGCTCATGCCTGTAATCCCAGCACTTTGGGCGGGTGAGGCAGGCAAATCACCTGAGGTCAGGAGTTCGAGACCAGTCTGGCCAACATGGTGAAACCCCATCTCTACTGAAAATGCAAAAATTAGCCAGGCGTGGTGGTCAGCACCTGTAATCCCAACTACTCAGGAAGCTGAGGCAGAAGAATCGCTTGAACCTAGGAGGCAGAGGTTGCGGTGAGCTGAGATCGCACCACTGCACTCCAGCCTGGGTGACAGAGTGAGACAATGTCTCAAAAAAATAAATTAATTAATTAAAATGTCAGCTAGTAATTCACATCTTTTAAAAGCAATGTACAAGTCAACGAGGTGGAGGGCAACAGAACATGTCTGCAGCAAGCCAGTCTGTGAACTCAGAGAAGCTATGAAATTGAAGTTCACGGAAGATGTGATTAAAGGCGAGAGGCTGGTGTGTTTCAACAGTGAAGGTCAGATGAAAAGTACATATGCGGACATGCATTTCCTCTTGCTCCATTTCAGGCTGCGCTTGCAAACGGTGTGAGGTGGCTGAGTATACTTAGCCACGTGCCTCTTTTTTTCCCCTGTTCAGATTGCATCTCTTAAGGCTTCTGCCTTTGCTGAAAACTGGCATTGCCATTTTATTCTTTCACTTTGCAGGAAAATAACTCCAAGAGGAAATTGACTGTGAAGCCTTATGGAGTGCCCCCTCAAGATGGGGAAAAAGAAGAGAGAGAAATATAATCAAGCACTCAGAGTGGAGAAAATTAAGTGCTGGCGGAGCAGCAGGAATGCCTATGCGGAGCACGTGCACAAAAGGATGCTAATGGGACTTAATGCTGCTGCCTCGCGTTGTAGGGAGCTTGGGAGCTCGCAAAGGAAGGGCTGTATGTTAATTTAATGAGAGGTGCCCAATGCTTGACCAAAGGCAAACTACCACGGCCTCTTGTTTGAAGGGCACACACACATCTGGGGCTGGGACTGTAACAGACTGTGCTTGGCTAAAAACCAGCCTCCCAATTAAGAGAAATTGATGGCTGTTTTGCACAGACTGATCCTGAGCAGGGGGCGGTTTGGTTCAAAAGCAAATTGTCTGTGTTGTTTGGGATTTGAGTTTTAAAGGTAATAAAGTCCACAATTTTGCCTACTGTTTAACCCCACTTTAATGGACTGGGCAGAGAAACAAAGTCGTTGGATCGTTCCATAGAAAAGGACTTTTATGTTCTGTTTCAGGGAAACAAAAATTTCCAACATACTGGGGTTTTTTGCAACCAGGATGTGAAACGAAGTGATCCTTGCTCTTTATCTGTCTTTCCTTTATCAGCAAATAAGGAAGCGCAAGCATGCAACCAAAATCAGAGGAACATTTCCTGGACAGCATTCCCATCTCCTGTAAGAGTGCTTCTCACTTCATAAAAGTGACACGCAGAAGCAAGACTCTGCCTTTGTGGTGACGTCACTGAATCTGCAGCTGGGACCCAGAGTTGAACAAACGCCGCTCTGGCAAACAGGGCAGGGTCTGGCTTAGCAACTTGACTTTGACCTACCACCTCTGGATAATTTTGCTTCTACATAACTATGGAGATGATCTACTCATGCTATTTATAAAAATAATGCCCTTGGAGTAAACCCCAACAATCCACTCCTACTTCCACCCTGGCCCAGGTCTGTTCTGCCCCAGGGCACCTAATCTTCCTTTGTTCTTTATCCCCCTCGTTCACACTGTGCCCGCATCCTGCTCCTTGAACAAGCCTGACCTCAAGCTATTGTACTTGCTGCTTCCTCTATCTGGAATGCCTTTCTCATTGGTCCTTGCTGAGACACTCCTTTTTTTTTTTTTTTTTTTTTTTTTTTGACACAGTTTCACTCTATCGCCCAGGCTGAAATGCAGTGGCGCAGTCTTGGCTCACTGCAACCCCCGCCTCCCGGGTCCAAGTGATTCTCCTGTCTCAGCCTCCCAAGCAGCTGGGATTATAGGCACACACCACCACGCCCAGCTAATTTTTGTATTACAAGTAGAGATGGGGTTTCAACATGTTGGCCAGGCTGGTCTTGAACTCCTGACCTCAGGTGATCTGCCCACCTTGGCCTCCCAAAGTGCTGGGATTACAGGCGTGAGCCACAGCGCCTGGCCCCAGGTCACTCCTAATCCATCAGGCTTCAATTGAAATGTCATCCTGGAAAGAGGCCTTCCTTCTCTCTCTCTCCTGGCTAACACTGCCTTCTCTCCCACAGCATCTTGCTGTCCCATCTTTCTCTTCTGTTTTCTTCAGAGAACTTATTGATACCTCATTTATTTCTCGCTTTTTTCTTCATTGTCTGTCTCCCCTTTGGAACATAAGTTGCTTAAAAACAGGCACCTCACTGGGTGCGGCCCATGCCTGTAATGCCAGCTACTCAGGAAGCTGGGGTAAGAGGATGGCTTGAGCCCAGGAGTTCAAGGCTGCAGTGAGCTATGATCGTACCAGTGCGCTCCAGCCTGGATGACAGAGCACAATTCCGTCTTTAAAAAAATAATACAAAAATAAAAAAGTATAGGCACCTCTTCAGTTTTGTTCATTTCTGAATCTCTGGTGCCTAGGACAGAGCCTGATGGTCAGTGAGAGGTGCTTAACAAATGCTTGTGGAAGGAAGGACTGGGATATACTTTTGCAGTTCAAAGGATTTCAGGAATGAAATGGCAATCTGAGGAAGGGGAGTAAAATGTCCTGTTGTCAACCTTGTAAGCTGCTAAACCGACATGGACTCCAAGCTAAAGCTGTGTAGGCCTCTAGGCTTTTAAACCTGTGGCTCCTGCTGCCCTGGGGGTGGTATTTGAAACATTCATCAGGTGCATGTATACACGTGTGGACAGGCTGAGCATCAGCAATTCCTGTCTGCCCTCACCAACTTGCCCCTCAAACTCTTACCCAGCTTTTAGGACCCAAGACAAAAGTCACTCCCTCTAGGAAGCCTTCCGGGATCCTCTCCCTCCTCTGTCTGCACCATGCTCTCCCCCAACCTCTGCATTCTCTCGCTGTACAGGGACTATGTGCTGGTGACCCTTAGAGGTCAGACCCTGGCCTCACCGACCCCTGGTCACTGGGTGCCTCTGAATGCTGACCTCTAGCCCAAGGTCTGCTCATCGAACTGTGTGAAAGGAACGCAAGAGTGAAGGAACACAGTGGCGAGTGAAGGACAGAATAAATAAACGTCAGAAAGTGCCCCGAGAGGCCACTGCAGCACTGAGCCTCACCGTCCTTCAGGTGCCCCGAGCGCAAGGCCAAGGTCATCCCTACCTGCGGACGATCCTCAGAAGTGTTGTTTGCCTGGACAGTCACATCCCCACACAGCTCAAAATCATCAGAATAGTCCACAGGAGGTTCGATGTGGAGCCGCGGGCCAGCTTCTGTTCTGATCTGCACAGATTTCTGTACAAAAATACAGACCGTCTCAGATAAGGTGGAATGAGGTCTATTCCTCTGCGGGGCAAGGACTGGCGCTGGAGAGGTGCAGCCAGGATCTACGGGCTTAGATACCAAGGGTGGTGTGCCTGCACACAACAGCAGTGGTGTCACGATGGGCATGGGCCACAGACCTCCTTCTCATCCAGGCCAGCACTGGATGGCCATGCCACCTCGCTCAACAGTCTACTGCTTCCTGCTATCCAAAGAACGTGCAGGAGAATTTTTTAAAATAACTTTTTGGTTGGAAATTCTGGGTTTTTTTTTGGTTTGTTTTGTTTTTTGGTTTTTTACTTCTCACTCTGTTGTGCAAGCTGGAGTGCAATGGTGCAGTCTTGGTTCTGCAACCTCTACCCCCCAGGTTCAAGCAATTCTCCTGCCTCAGCCTCCTGAGTAGGTGGAATGACAGACAACGGCCACCACGCGGCGAATTTTTGTATTTTTAGTAGAGACGGGGTTTTGCCACGTTGGCCAGGCTGGTGTTGAACTCTTGGCCTTAAGTGATCTGCTTACCTCGGCCTCCCCAACTGCTGAGATTACAAGCATGAGCCACTACGCTCAGCCAGTTGGAAATTCTTTATCAGGAGACTTTTAGTAGGTGTTAAACTTCTCAAAAAGGGCTTTGTGGTCAAGGCATGGTAGCTCATGCCTGTAATCTCAGAATTTTGGAAGGCCGAGGCAGGAGGATCACTTGAGGCCAAGAGTTGGAGCCCAGCCTAGGCAACATAGTGAGACTCCCATCTCTACAAAAAATTAAAAAATTAACCAGGTGGCAGGGCCTGGTGCCTCACACCCGTAATCCCAGCACTTTGGATGGCTGATGTGGGCGGATCACCTGAGGTCAGGAGTTTGAGACTAACCTGACCAAGATGGAGAAACCCTGTCTCTCCAGAATTAGTCGGGTGTGGTGGCGCTTGCCTGTAATCCCAGCTACTCAGGAGGCTGAGGCAGGAGAATCGCTTGAACCCGGGAGGCAGAGGTTGCAGTGAGCCGAGATCATGCCATTGCACTCCAGCCTGGGCAACAAGAGCAAAACTCCATTTCAAAAAAAAAAAAAAAAAAAATTAGCCAGGTTGGTGGTGTGTGCCTGTAGTCCTAGCTACTCCAGAGGCTGAGGTGGGAGGATCGCTTGAGCCCAGCAGTTCGAGGCTGCAGTGAGCCAAGATCGCACTACTGCACTCTAGCCTGGATGACAATGTGACACCCTGTCTTCAAATAAAAGAAACGGGGGGGCTTTGTGATTAGACTTGTTTGGGAAACCCTGGCCTACACACGCACACTGCAGATATCCTAAAATGAAACACAGCATGGGACATTTCCCAAACTTTCTGGACTGCGGACACTTCGGACTGGGGCCTCTCTTTTTTCTAGTATTCCTTGGATCGTTCTTTGGGAAGGAAACTCATTGTGTGATCAGTGTGCCCGATTACAGAATCCCCTCCAACGTCCACTTTCCCGTTCTTCTATTGCTTGGAGTTCCAGATGTGCATATGGAGTCCCAGCCTCCCCTGCAGCTAAGAGGAACCGCGTGAACACATTCTGACTCATGAGCTGTGGGTGGGAGGGAGGGATGTGAATTGCATCTTCCAGGTGTCTCCTTAAAGGGCAGGGACCAGCCTCCCCAGGCCCTGCAGCTTCTCCTGCCAGCTGCAATGGGGAGGTAGGAGTGAGCTGACTGGTGCTGGGGGAAGGAAAGCAACATCTGGAGGATGGTCAGAGTAACAGGGGTTCCTCGGTGACCGCATGGAGCAGGGCGACTGCTCCCATCTAAGCAGTGTTGTGTCAGAGACAACAGCTTTCATGCTGTTCAAGCCACTGGTATTTGTGTCTCCCTGCTGGAGCAGCCAAACCTGTACTTTAACTGATATACCTGGCATGCAAGGTTCCCTACAATGTGGCCACAGCCCACCTTCCTGCCCTGGTTGCTGCACAGACAACCACACACCTGATAATTAGGCCAAACAAAAGGGCTTCTGGGGCTTTTGGATCTGCAGCTCCATCAGTCCAGCTTCCAGGCTGTGTCCTTCGGGAAACACCTCCCTTGTTTTCCTCTGGGACCCAATTTCCTCCCAACTCTCAGTCCACAGGTGGCCCCATGGTGGGGATTTGAGGCAGGCCTGGCCAATCTGCCCATTCCACCCTCACAACACACTATGGCCAGCCAGTTCACGGATAGAAACAGACCTAAGGCAGCAATGAGAACAGCCCTGGATTCCTGTTAGAGCCATGGGAAAGAGGTGCTCTCTTCCTGCGGGATGTGAAGCTAGAGGGACGTCTATCAGGAGCTGCTGGGGACCATCCTATCCCTAACAAAGAGCAAAGAGAGCTGAAAGGCTGAAGCAGAATCCTGATGGGTTTTAGAACCCCTGGATCCAGCTGCACCTGAAGCAAGCCCCACTGAAACATTCTCCTTTTTTGCTTAAACCAGTGTGAAGATGATAAAGGTATTTGTGACAGTCTTGGCCCTCCCTTGTACCCTAAACTCTCCCACCTTTGTGCCTCTGCTCACGCTGTTCTCCCAATCCGAATGCCATCCTCCCAAATCTGTTCCATGCATCCAAACCCTAACTAGCTTTGGAGACAATGCTCTCTGCCTACCCAGTATCTGTCGGCTGCCTGACTCTACTGAGGTGGCCCTGTGCCCCACTAAGATGGTCACATTGCTGGGGGCCTTTGCAGCTAGGGATGGCCATGAGTTCCAGGTGTGGCAATGCTAGTGGTTAGAAGTCTACAAGGCAGAGCTTCAGAGAAAATTCTGTCTTCCTGGTAATCAGTAGAGACTCAGTGCAGACAGGACTTCTGCCCTTTACCCTTCTACCCTTCTTCCTGACTGGAATGTGGATGGGATGTTTGGGAACACAGCAGTCATCTCGTGAGAATGAGGAAGAAAGCCACACACCAAAGAAGGCCCAGTGCAACAGAGGAGCTGGCTTCCTGGTGGCATCACCCACCCATGCCACCAGCCTGCCTCCAAATGCATTGTTCACAAGTGAGGAAAACAGCAGCTGTGGTCTCTAAGCTGCAGCATTCTAGTTTCTGTGGCAAGCAGCTCAACTCCATCCCACTTGCTAACCCACGCTGGCCACTTGTTACTTTTGTGTTTCTGTTACTGTGGCTCCTGTGTGGTGAAGGGCCTGGGTTCTAGACTCAGGCAGGCTACGCAATTCCTGGAACTCTGATGCTTACTCCCTGTGTGACCTTCAGCAAGTCACCTAGCCTCCCTGAGCACCGGTTTCCAAATCTGTTAAGACGGCACTCGTGAATCTTCATTAGAGGGCTGCCACAAGGATGACACGCAGCGACGCAGGTGAGCCCTCGGCTGGCGCTTTGGCACACAGCACCTCAGGGCTGCACCTATTTACATGGCATCAACTCTGCACAGGTCACCAGACTGCCTCTCAGGTGTATGTTTCATTTGGCATAGCCCCCAAAAGCCAGCCAACCATGTCCTTTGGTAGTGAACCAGAGAAACTGCCACCTGCTCTAAGGCTGGAGGTAAAGCTGATTGTGTTGGACTCAGTAAGCAGGGCCGGGGCTGGCTTGAGGGAAGCAAGGTGCTCAGGGTGTGATATTGAAGGGGGTCTCACTCTCAGGCACCGACCCGCCCATGCACAAATCTGAGCATGAGGCCTCCTTTAATATTCCGCTCCAGGTGCCTTACTTACTTCACCCTGTCCTGGCCCTATTGCTGAAAGATAGAACAGGATACAGAGTATGTGCATGAACTCTAAGACTCACATAAGGGGTACTCAAGGGTAATGGGGCTGGGCAAGGTGACTCATGCCTGTAATCCCAGCACTTTGGGAGGCTGAGATGGGAGGACTGCTTGAGTCCTGGAGTTTGAAACCAGTCTGGGCAATATAGTGAGACCCCATCGCTAAAAAAATAAATAGATAAATTAGCCGGGTGTGGTGATACGTGCCTGTAGTCCCAACTACTTGGGAGGCCAAGGCAAAAGGATCACTTGAGCCCAGGAGTTCGAGGCTGCAGTGAGCTATGATCACATCACTATGCTACAGCCTGGGTGACAAAGCGAGATCCTGTCTCTAAAGAAAAAGTGCGCAAAGAAGGGCTCAGAGAAGGATAAGTGACTAAAAGAAAAATGACGCAGGGGGAAATTGAAAGAGAAGCCCTCTGTGGGAGCCTGTGAATGGGGGTGGCACCCAGCCAGATGCCCACTAGGGCTGTTATCATAGAAGGCTCTGGAGTTAGGAGGGGCTGGGGAAAGCATGATCAAGATTATGTCTTTGGCCGGGTACAGTGGTTCACACCTGTAATCCCAGCACTTTGGGAGGCTGAGGCGGGCGGATCACTTGAGGTTAGGAGTTCGAGACCAGCCTGGCCAACATGGTGAAACCCTGTATCTACCAAAAATACAAAAATTAGCCAGGTGTGGTGGTATGTGCCTATAGTCCCTGGTACTTGGGAGCCTGAGGCAGGAGAATCGCTTGAGCCTGGCAGGTGGAGGTTGCTGTGAGCCGAGATCTTGCTACTGCACTCCAGCCTGGGCAACAGAGTGAAACTCTGTAAAAAAAAAAAAAAAAAAAAAAAAAAGATTATGTCTCTGGAAGATGGACTAGGGAGAAATTGGCCCTAGAAAAAGCAATTTCCTAGAACTGTCCTAGAAGCAGCAAAAAAATAAAAATAAAAAAGAAGAAAAATGGGGGGTGGTGTTCGTGGTAATTAGGACATGCATTTCCCTTGAAGCCCTGGAGTTAGAATCCTTCGCCCCCTGTAATATTCAATCCCCTGCAGGTTTAGTAAACCTAAGGATTATCTAGATGATGAAGAAAATGATGTCAGAGTCTTACTGACCTACCGGATTCTAGTAGTTTAGACAGAACTCCTTTCAGATCCAAGTTCACAATGCCCCGCTCCCCCATCAATGCTTTCACACTATGTGCCATGTCACTGGGTGCCACTCCAAGCACTCAGGTGCATTCACTCATTTAGTTTCTTTTTTTTTT